TTATCTCAGAAAGTTAAGAGTCATTCTCAGGTATCTACTTTCCTACCGTTCCAACATTTCAAATTATTATCCAATAGAATATTTTAATAAATAGATCTCTAGTTAAATCATTGGATGAAGATTATGAGAGTCAACGAAGGAATGTTTTGGCTATATGATTCTACTGTAGAAATACAAAAGGATAGTACAAAAAGCTACTAGGGATCTATAAACAGATGAGCATAGGGATTGTTTTACCCCAGAGTAGTCCCAAAAAGTCTCCTGAGACAAAGATCAGATCTGGTGGAAGAAAGATTACACCCTCAGGTGCATTTTCAGATAACCAACTAATAAAATGTTTATACTACAAGTCTCTAAAATATTTCAGACAAACTAGCAGTACAAGCAGAATGGAACATTTGACGGTTTGGAAGTTAGGCAGTCTAGAGTCCTCTGAGCTTGGGGAGTTGCGAGGAAAGTGACTTCGGTAAGTCCAGGTTAATCTATTATTCATTATAGAAGTATTTTATATATATTAAGTTTACAGCAGAATCAAATCTAGCAAGATCCTTGTCATTCTATTCTAAAAATATAAAGTGCAGACTTTACTTCAGGAATACTAGAGTATTTTACCAAAGAATTTTACAATTATGTATTTTATTTTATATATATGGCTTCCATATTTATATTTGGAAGAATTTAAAAATTTTCCTGATTTTCGCACTTTTAATCCTCAATAACTTACTGATACAACACATTGTAGACCTTTGAGACATATTGTATCTGAGATTGTAAAGAATAGATCGCTAGCTCAATTTTGGTTGAAAATGACACTGCAAAATATACAGAGTGGGTATGGGTATACAGGTTACATTTCATACTTTTCAATAGATTGATTTTTTCCAGGAAAATGTCCAAAAACAAGCAGAAATGGCAATGTGTTAAATATGCAACCAGGGAAACAACGACTGAGCTGTACAAGTCATTTGAAGAAACATTTGGAAAGTGATGAGGACCAATGAGAGCTCATGCTTTCAAGGAAAAATGAACACTTAGCATAAACAATATCTGTTCCGAGAAGCAAGCCAGTTTGAATTAAATTTTTATCTCTATGACAAGTAACGGGACAGTACTTTTAAGATTGCATAGATATAATGGCTTCATATCTGAAACATGCAATTTTTCTAGATTTATTCCCAACTTAAAATGGTCATTATTGCTTTTTGAAAATCAATACCATGTTAACTAATAGAGCATTTGTTCAAGCTCAAATTAGAATATTTATTCATTCCCGTTCAGAAAAATAACAATATAACCCCTAAACAGTTAGGCTATAGATAATTACATTCATAGTAAAGGGGGTGAATAGATCTGCCGAGATCTGGGCACAATCTCGGAAATGAAATATCGAAATATCATCAAAGTTAATCCCATACTTAGTAGTGTTATAGGTAAATAACATGCAGGAATATAATTGATATCTGAGTTGAGCGGGAGATATACAAGGGTTATGTACTGGGAGGTTTTGGATACAGGTTTTATCCCAAGGGAAATATGTGTATATCCCGACGGACCGCAGGGACCAAGGGATATACACATATTTCCCGAGGGATAAACCCTGTATCCAAAACCGACCGTACATAACAGATGTATTTCATACCTACTGATGTTCTTGGTACGTCATATACCTTATAAAGTTCCAAAATTCAAAAATATACTTAAGATACACATTTTCTTGGTGTTTTAAAGTGGTTTTTAAGTTTCTGAGATTATCAAACTCATAAATGTGAAAATATTTTTTTTTTAAATGTGAAAAAAAATTTGGGGAAAAATGGGAAATTTCAATGCATATTTAATTCTCATAATCTACTAAGTATAGGATAAATCAGTTATTAAATGCTCGATTTTTGATACAGTGTATATCCCTCAGTAAATACAATATAGTCACGATTTATTAGTTAAAATATGCCTAATTCAATTTTAAGACAAGCCAGAACGGCAAATCTCCCCTGCCCCTTAACCGTTTAGGGGTTAATAAAATACTCAATAAAACTTATTAACGATAGGATAGATTTTTGATAGATGACATACGAGACTGTAATTATATTTAAGTTCAATTCTGTTGTCAATATTCTCTATTTGGATGCTCAAAAAAGTTCTTGTGTATTAACTCATTAATTATTGGAAAAACAATATACATTTGTTAATAAGTCAAAGCATAAGTTAGTTGTGTTTTACCTTCACATGTGAAAATGTTAGGCTTAGTGTGTTATATATAATTTTACTGAACATCGGTGTCTACATCTTCCTGTACAGGAACTTTAAATTATGTCCATGTAATGATTCATTTAACTGGACGTTAGTCATTACTATCACTATATCTTGTTGATGGCATAATTAAGGTTACTAGAACATTCCTTGCATGTGTTGTCCTAATTTGATGTAACCAGAAGTTATGAATTTGCCATGTATGTGACAAGCACGTTAGAGTCTCTTTATTTTGGCAAAGTCGTTGTTATGTTACGTTGCATAAGCACATTACAGTTTCACTATTTTTGCGAAGTCATTGTTAAGGTTGGTTCTACATTCCTGGTACGTAATATTTAAGTCATATGTAACGTTCTTTAAACATCTGTGCGAGTCCACACCTTCCTGTACCTACAACGTTCCATAATTAACGTACCAGAACTTAAAACTGGCCACGTATATGTGACGTTGCATAAGCACATTACAGTCTCGTTATTTTTGCGAAGTTATCATTTAGGTTGGTTCTACGTTCCTGGTACGTGATATTTAAGTCAAATGTAACGTTCTTTGAACATCTGTGCGAGTCCACAACTTCCTGTACCTACAACGTTCCATAATTAACGTATCAGAAATTTAGATTGGCCACGTATTTATGACGTAATGTAAGTACGTTACATTTTCGTTATTTTGGCGAAGTCATCGTCTAGGTTGGTTCCACGTTCCTGGCACGTGATATTTAAGTCAAATGTAACGTTCTTTAAACATCTGTGCGAGTCCACACCTTCCTGTACCTACAACGTTCCATATCAACGTTACCAGAAATTTAGATTGGCCACGTATATATGACGTAATGCGAGTACGTTACATTTTCGTTATTTTGGTGACGTAATTGTTAAGGTCGCTACTACGTTCCTGACACGTGATATTTAAGTCAAATGTAACGTTCTTTAAACATCTATGCGAGTCCACACCTTCCTGTACCTACAACGTTCCATATCAACGTTACCAGAAATTTAGATTGGCCACGTATATATGACGTAATGTAAGTACGTTACAGTTTCGTTATTTTGGCGACGTAATTGTTAAGGTCGCTACTACGTTCCTGACACGTGATATTTAAGTCAAATGTAACGTTCTTAAAACATCTATGCGAGTCCACACCTTCCTGTACCTACAACGTTCCATATCAACGTTACCAGAAATTTAGATTGGCCACGTATTTATGACGTAATGTAAGTACGTTACATTTTCGTTATTTTGGCGAAGTCATCGTTTAGGTTGGTTCTACGTTCCTGGCACGTGATATTTAAGTCAAATGTAACGTTCTTTAAACATCTGTGCGAGTCCACACCTTCCTGTACCTACAACGTTCCATATCAACGTTACCAGAAATTTAGATTGGCCACGTATTTATGACGTAATGTAAGTACGTTACATTTTCGTTATTTTGGTGACGTAATTGTTAAGGTCGCTACTACGTTCCTGACACGTGATATTTAAGTCAAATGTAACGTTCTTAAAACATCTATGCGAGTCCACACCTTCCTGTACCTACAACGTTCCATATCAACGTTACCAGAAATTTAGATTGGCCACGTATATATGACGTAATGTAAGTACGTTACAGTTTCGTTATTTTGGCAACGTTATTGTTAAGGTCGCTACTACGTTCCTGACACGTGATATGTAAGTCAAATGTAACGTTCTTTAAACATCTGTGCGAGTCCACACCTTCCTGTACCTACAACGTTCCATATCAACGTTACCAGAAATTTAGATTGGCCACGTATATATGACGTAATGTAAGTACGTTACAGTTTCGTTATTTTGGCAACGTTATTGTTAAGGTCGCTACTACGTTCCTGACACGTGATATGTAAGTCAAATGTAACGTTCTTTAAACATCTGTGCGAGTCCACACCTTCCTGTACCTACAACGTTCCATATCAACGTTACCAGAAATTTAGATTGGCCACGTATTTATGACGTAATGTAAGTACGTTACATTTTCGTTATTTTGGTGACGTAATTGTTAAGGTCGCTACTACGTTCCTGACACGTGATATTTAAGTCAAATGTAACGTTCTTTAAACATCTATGCGAGTCCACACCTTCCTGTACCTACAACGTTCCATATCAACGTTACCAGAAATTTAGATTGGCCACGTATATATGACGTAATGTAAGTACGTTACAGTTTCGTTATTTTGGCAACGTTATTGTTAAGGTCGCTACTACGTTCCTGACACGTGATATGTAAGTCAAATGTAACGTTCTTTAAACATCTGTGCGAGTCCACACCTTCCTGTACCTACAACGTTCCATATCAACGTTACCAGAAATTTAGATTGGCCACGTATTTATGACGTAATGTAAGTACGTTACATTTTCGTTATTTTGGTGACGTAATTGTTAAGGTCGCTACTACGTTCCTGACACGTGATATTTAAGTCAAATGTAACGTTCTTTAAACATCTATGCGAGTCCACACCTTCCTGTACCTACAACGTTCCATATCAACGTTACCAGAAATTTAGATTGGCCACGTATATATGACGTAATGTAAGAACGTTACAGTTTCGTTATTTTGGCGACGTAATTGTTAAGGTCGCTACTACGTTCCTGACACGTGATATTTAAGTCAAATGTAACGTTCTTTAAACATCTGTGCGAGTCCACACCTTCCTGTACCTACAACGTTCCATATTTAACGTTGCTACAACTTGAGACATATATTCTGACGACGTTATCACAACGTAAAATTGTTAGCTGGGGTAGGCGTACCATGGGCTATCAAAACCAGGATCTTGCAGGTCGTCGTTAGTTTATTTTAGAAATAATAACTTCACTACATTTCTCAGTGTATCTAAGCTCTAGGTATTCTCTAGCTTTGTTAACACTACAATATTGATTTTGCTACCATTGTCTGCTTTCAAAAACTGAATGAGATAATATTTTGAGTTGTAATTCATCCGAGGAAATGTTTTCTAATGTTTGATTTCAATGTCTCCATCCAATGTCACTATCGTTATGAAAACACTATAGGTCAATTATTTGAACTCCATGCTACATTGAAAAATAAGATTTTATTATGTTTCACTATATTTCAGTTTTACTCATAGTTCCGGAAAAAAGTATTGTCATGATAATTGATTCTATTCGCCTCTGCCAGACCATTGTTTTAAGTAATGTCAATTTTGTATTCATGAATTTAACGAATCAATAAAGCGAGCTTCTTTATTTTGTTTTATATCCCCGTAAAAATGTGAATACTTTACATCGAAATAGAAACAAAACATATAAGGATGTATACACGCACATTTGTACGAGGGTTGATCCAAAGGTTCTGCATATTTTATGATTATTGTTCATATTTGGCTTCAATAATCCTATGGTAGTTTTACGTTGTATAAAAATGCGAAATGCATTTGACCAGTGACATAAGTGTATGGTCACCATAGTAACATGACAACAGGGTATGTGGAGCAAGAGGACGACATATTGTAAAAAGGTTGACACTTCAAGGGTGTTACAGGGTACCAAATTTCAAATGTGACAGTCATGCCTGTTAATCAATTTGTTGGCTCATAATTTGATTTCGCGAAACATTATCCTTTCCCCATAATATACACTTAGTGTGATCCACTGATCAAATATATCCTTCAATTCTCGATTTCCAATCTCAGGAAGACACTCGAGAACAGCAAAACAAACTTCATGTTAACGTTTTACATGCTATTAAAAATAAGGAAAATAGTTGTTAGAGTTTAAAAGTAAAAATCTCTTAAAATCGCATAAAAAACGAGAATTAGCGAGATATCAAAGCTATATGGAAAACCCTCGATTGCTAATTATGGTATGCATGAGATCACATCACATATAAAGGATTGGTTTAATGAAAAAATAATTGATTAACAGGCAACACCTTTGAAATAAATTTGGTACCATGTAACATCTTCCAAGTGTCAATTTTTTCCAACTCTATAATGTGTTATACTCTTGCTCCACATACTCTGTTGTGATGTTGCTATGGTAACCATGTACCTATGTTACTGGTTAAATGTATTGCTAATTTTTTACAGAAAATGAAGCTGCTATAAAGGGGGTGGTTTAGGGAAAATATGAACAATATTCATAAAGAATTGAGATTTTTAGAGCAAACGGTGCAGAACGTTTTAACCAACCCTCGTATATAACATATTATTTGCAACAGAAAACGAATTTCAATAACAATGGTGCATATTTTGTTAAAAAGAAAACAGTTTTCCGTTGTTCAGCTGAATATGGATTACTATTACAAAATTTATGACGGGCAATTAAAAAGATAATCATGTCAATACATGACATTTATCTTTTAATTAAAATGATACTAACTAGCCAGACGAGATGTAATAAATTAGTTCAACCCGGCATTTTAGTAGATACAGTTAATATTTTCTTATTAAGTATAAATATATTGACAAAGGCCAGGACTGTGCAGTTGATATACGGCATTGGTCCTTGCTCTAAATGAAGAGCCCTAAATCGTTTAAGATATCTTAAAGCCTAATATATGTCACACCTTGACATTGCTAATATATATCTGGGATATCGGAAACGTCACAAAAAGCAATACAATTTTCTTGACTGATAATTAATTGCAAACATTTGGTTCATTTCCTGACAAGACAGTGAAAAATATTTGAAAAATAAAGATTTATTTTTTACTAGTTATTCAATTCAAGAATATTGACTTAATTCTATTTTGAATATATGATGTCAATAAAGAAAGTATATTAACATTATGTTTGAAATATTTGTCTTTAAAATATTTGTTTTTACTTTTTTTACATGGAATTTATACATGCAGAATGCAAAAAGTATTGCTTCTTTTCTGGGCTCAATTTGGGTGACGACAATAACATTAAAGTAAACTAAGGTAAATAAATAAACGCAGGCATTGAGACATTAGGGAGTTTGAGCTTGCAATGTTTTTCACAACCTTAACATGAACAGAAAATATTAAAGCGATGCATTTGTATGAGCGATTGGTCATACGTTTAGTTTGGCGTTTCGATTTTATATGCAAGCTTAAACTCCCTCATATAACAGCTCAAAAACGATTAAAAAAGTTGATAATATATAGATTCGTTAACAAATCTAATGTCAATTAATGCTATACAGTTATACGTATTAACGCATTGAGAATAAAAACACTTGTGGATAATAGCTTTATAGTGTAATCAAAAGAACTATGGAAATACTTCAGATAACAGAGGCACAAAAGCTGTATTTCAATAACAATTGTCTAAATTTAGTTATAAAGAAAATAAGTTTGCCTTTGTTCAGCTTTTTATGTTGTTTTATTTTACAATATTACACGAATTGAATTATGATACGCTTTTAAAATAATAATTATGTCATGATATGACATTGATCTTATAATAAAGATGATCTTGTAGTGAGATATATAAGTCAAGTAGTAATTTGTTTTTCCAAGCAACCTCGCGTACTATCATCAGATACAATTATCACGTATAGTACTGGTACAAATCGTCCAATAAATATGTATAGAAATGCATATCGTGTTTTGATAACCATCGTGTAATCACGGGGGAAAGTCTACCCGCGTATATACAGCCTACTGCCGAGCAAAGACCCGAAGATGTCTGAAAATGTAGGGGATAAGTAAATCAACTCCGGTTTATATATTGAATTTCTCAATATGAGAAATAAATAAAACACAGAATTGTTCGTTACAGATATAGTTGTTGTTCCAGGCACTCATGTTTGCAGAACAATGAGTACTTTATGCAATATTTGCTATCAAATCGCTAAATTTAGGTTCTAAATATGAGAATGATGTTTTGAAAATGAAAGATCCGATTATACCACGAGTACGATTTTATAGGACCCGATGCTACCGCCTGAATATCCCGATTATACCGTGAGTAAAACCCGATGAGGTAGTGAGTAAGCTTTCGGATGATCATATAATAACATGAAGTATATCACAACAATTCCTGTTAATATGATATAATTCCCACAGCACTATACGTCAACGTCTGTGTCCTTTAAAACATTGAATTCATCCTTTCAATCGAATCACCATAATTTTCATTGTTGATGATATCATCACTTCTATCTGACTATGCTCATAATCCAATGATTTTGGTACGTGTTATTTTGTATCTACCAAGACGGTAAACATATGAAAAGAAAGTTATTTATTTTGATTGGTCTAAAATGTCCAAAGTTAAAAGACCCGTCATGCTCATCCGCTCTCAATTTTGAATAAGATATCAGTAGAACGGCTAGTAAAATGAAACAAGATTGACCAGTAGAGATTAGAAACTTAAAACATACTCATTTTTATCCCTAAATATGGATAATAATGGATTTAAATGCAATTTCGCGCTATTCCTATTCTCCAGTGTTGGTATAGCCTAATACATGTTGTGTCAGTCTGGGTCAAAGTGTTACAATAGTATTAATAACGAGGAACCCTTCTAATGAAGGCAATTAAATCAAGGTTCGAAAACTCCAAAAAGTAACCCTAACACTATTTCATCATCATCACGTCATAAACTCGACGATTTCATCGGATCTCAACAGATTTTACTCAAGTAATGTTCGGATTCTTTACTCAAGATATTTTCGGATCTTTATAATATTACTCACCGATCACGGTCCGATGTCCGATAACATCGGATCTTTTAGGACAACGTTTATTTGAAGATTTTGCTGTTTAAAAGTGCTATTTTGGCCTCATAGTTTGACTTAATGTATTATGCATATGCCATGCATTTACCGACCCAGATATGTGTTATGTATGTCTCGTTATCCAATAAAGCGAATATGATGGGTAAAGAAACCGAAAACCATTATACGTTTTACTTATCTCTTGTAAAATGTTGACAATTGATATGGTCAGTCACCTTGTTCTTTACTGCCAGCATGTCCGAGTTATTTACTTGAGAGAGAAACTCTTAGATGGTATTGTTAATATACTACCCATTGATTTATCAGTTCAATTATTGAACTCTACTGAAGATATTATAGTAGAAACGTTATTAGGAAGCACGACTGATGTACTTCAAAATTGCCAAGATGGTACAATTGAACAGTTCCTATTGAATAGTGCATATTACATTGATCTAATGGTGAAAACAGTTATCAAACAAACAGAAATGTAAAAACTCTAAATGTAAATCTATATGTAACAATATGTACAAATGTAAATAATCTGTTAATGTGAATTGTCTGTAATTATATGTAATGTTTAAATCTTCACCTATGTGGAGGAAATAAAGCTAAAGACACTGAACTGAACTGAACTCGGCGGTAGGTTGTATATACGCGGGTAGATTTTCCCCCGTGGTAATGTTCTTAGAACATTGACCAATTTCACTATAAGTCCAAAAACCTTTTTATATTTTCAATTTTAATTCTCGTATCATATTATAAATACGGATCCTTGCTTTTCTAAGTTGATTTACAGCGAAATATAAGAATCAAACTATTATTTCAGCCAAAAGGTTAATACATGGCATATAATGTGAAAAATATGAAAATATGTATGCATAAGTGTCAAAGGAGACTGACCAAAAATACATCTGCGAGTACACCATAAGTAGTCATAACTATAACAAACCCCAACTATCACAAACCATGGTCTAACGTGAGAAGAATCAATATCTAGTACCCCGGCCTTATCCTCATCGTTCATGTAACCTTATCAAAATCCATAACTCCATCAAATAATATATGAATAACAGATATCTTGTTGGCGATCCAAAATTCATAAGGACAACGTTATGGTATATTTAAAGTTGTATTAGTTATATTAGTCTGTTGTGAATCGTGGAGCATATTAGACTTTTTATTAAAGTTTTCCCAGGCATATTTTGTAACGTTGAGACTTTTCTTGAAAACATCCCAAGCGTGTTTCGTAATATTTAGACTGTGCATAAAACGGTCCCATCTATCTTTTGCACCGCTCGAACTTCCGGTGAAGTGAGCCCTGCTAGAAATGTTCAAACTACTTCTTAAGTAGTTCCAGTCGTTTAATGATATATTTAGACTCATCCTAAATCGTCTTTCTTCCTCCCCTAGTCGACGCACTTCTCTTTCTTCCTCGTTCCACTTTTGACAAGTTCCTGAAAACAATGTATTTAAAAATACAGTTTAATAAATAATTAATTTGTTCAAATTCCAGAGCTGGATGATCTGGCGATCAATCACATTCGAATCAGATTCATCCGCCATTCATAATTTTATTAAATCACACATTAAGCGTTTAACTATTTTTCATCATACTCACCCGGGCCCCCTATGACGAGAGTACCATTGTTGCTTGGATGCAGTGGTCTACATGTGTATTGTTGGTCTTTACAGGGACAGTCGATAAACATTGGCTTAGTTTCCATCGGTGGTTTATTTGTACCCACAACGCATGCTTTGGTAGTAGTATCAGGAATAATTAATACTATAAAATCTCTTTCAAACTTTCAATTGCATGACTAGTGAAAACCTGTATATATCGCTTGGAATTCAATCTAATCTTAGTCTTGCTCAAAGACTGTATCCCCCCGTCACCTTCACGCTCCTTACCTGGCAATACACTAGAGAGAAGGATAAAGGGGGGAGGGAGTACAGGGTATTTTAAGCAAGACTAATCTAATCTAATCTAATCTAATTTTACATTTGAAAAATATGAATATGTGCAACGATTTAATAATCAATCTAATGTATCAAACTGTTTGAATAAAAGAATAATGTAAAAATCATACTATATCAACAAGAATACAGAGATACTATTCATCTGCATGTCCATTTAGATATAAACAAAATGCTCTACTTGATCTTACTGTATATATGGTAAAGAAACAACTTGTAACTTATTGTTGTACATTACCTTCGCCACATTTTCCTAATTGTCTACATCTTCCGAATTCTGGGATGATACCAGTTTTGTTGTAGTCCTCTTTATCTAATACGCAGCATTCATCTTTTTCGCAGTCCTTCTGCTTCGTGCATATGTTTGGTCGACAGAGTCCTACAATTGATCGATTCGCGATAAAGGAATAGGTTGTCATTAGAATGCATGTAGGAGATTTCTTTAATCCAAATGGCTCTTTTAAAAGTAGCCAAACTTTTATTCAAGCATTGCAAAGAAAAAAGAACTGGATGATAGAGTTGTATATTCTCAAAAGAACCATCATGAGTGTTTGTTCAAATGTTGATAAAAATATTTTACCTTTTATCAATATAAGGGATAAAACTAAATTTTTATTAGAAAACCACTTTGTTGAATTAGACGGTAAAAAAGCAAACTTTTTCTACAACATCCTGCGAAATCTTAAATTTGAAAGAAATATTCAAGAGACTCACTGGAATGCTTGTTTTAATATTATAGAACAACACCTTTGGAAAAATATATATGATCAAAAATTAATAAATATGAGCTATACATATTTTTCAGAGCTTAATTTTAAACTCTTAAACAACTTATTGGCATTTGGATCTCTTGTATCAAAATGGAATAACAAAGTCTCAAAAAATTGCTTAATATGTAATCAATTGCACAATATTAAGCACATGATATTTGAATGCCATAAGGTTAAACCCTTGTGGAATAAAATTGGAAGAGTGTTAAAATGTGATATTCAATATAAACATATTGTAATTGGTTATCCATTCGGAAACACTATAACTAAATATAGAAACATAATTTTAACAATTGCAGGATTGACTATATACAATAACTGGTGTAAATATTCGGAAGAAAAAGAAAACTTGAAAACTTTCGACATAACAAATGCATTTATCAAAAATGCGTTTTATTATTCTCAAATTTTTAATATGACAAAAGATGTAATACTATCAAAATGGATAACCAAATGTGTATTAGAAATGTAATTGACTTTGTATGAATGTATCATTACGTCTCTTTTTGTTTATATTTTATGCATTACATTATTTGTAATCATTATAAACAATGTATGAATGTAACAAAATAGGAAATAAAAAAAAAGCATGCATGTAAGTATTTAGGAAAATATTGTAGAATCATTATTTGGAACAATACCAATATACAAAAGATGCAAAATATTGTAGATAGTAGAACAAAAGTTAGTTTTAACAGTTTTAAACTTAACTTAATGAAAGGAACCCAGCAGAATACCAGTATCTTGACAGGCCGTCAAATTTGACAGGGCTTATTTGAAAGAAGCTTTACCTAATATATTAGACGATCGCTCAACACTTGCACCAAATACGAAAAACCCTCTAGGTCTACATTACCTAATATATTAAACGATCGCTCAACACTTGCACCAAATACGAAAAACCCTCTAGGTCTACATTACCTAATATATTAAACGATCGCTCAACACTTGCACCAAATACGAAAAACCCTATAGGACTACATTACCTAATACATTAGACGATCGCTCAACACTTGCGCCAAATACGAAAAACCCTCTAGGTCTACAATCCAAGTGACCGAGACATGGACACACCCCATTATAAACCTGGCTCCCATCCTTCAGATGGCGTCCTACGAAACATCCTGGAAGCACATCACATTGGCAAAATTGAATGTTGTATCACTGGTGAAAAAATCAAAGAGATTGGTTCATAGATTGCATCCGTGTAAAAAAGTATCCATTACTTATTAATCACCCCTCGAAGAACCAAAATGTTAGTGCAAGTACTTCGCCTCCATTTAAGTTTGACAACCGTTATTACGTAACATTTTTTCCATGTCAGTATGCAAGTGAATGAATGCGATGTATGGAGGATAATAGGGTAGAGTTGGGATGCCTATTTAACAGTTAAATTCATATTAATGCGTGGATGAATACAATAAATTTATGCGATCCAGTTGCAAGATCCTACTGGTTATTATCAACGACATATCGCCATGCCATGAAATGAAGTTGACATAATAACAACTATCAAATTCATGAAAATAGTTGCTCATGCCTTTTAAAGACGGCGCGTGTTCTTTAACGATGTATTTTCCGTCTCAAGCGAGCAGGCAAAACAAAAAATGTTTCCATTTTAGAATATGCTTGACTCATATCATTCATTGTAATGTCCATTTTCAAATTGTATACATCAAAGTATATATTTTATGGCAAGAAAACTAAGAATGTTACATTGACCTTTTATTTTCCAGTTTTTTGGGTTACCATTTTTAGTATTTGGGAAAATTGTTAGAATTTTCCACTTTGAATTGGAGATATTGTATTTGATGGAATATATTGGTAGATCAATTGTACAATGTCGCCCCTATAGATCTTATTCTGTCTTAAACTATATAATATTACACCACATATTTTAAAACAGTAAAATATAGCTAGCGCCAGGATGCAAAAGTTAGTAGTTCTTAACAACACTTTAAAATAACACATTAAAATATTATTATGAGACCAGTAGACAGTGAATGCAATCATTATAAAATCCTACCGTGATAACACACCTTGGCGTTCTTTAGATAGTTCTCTACACTTCCCTATCGCATGTGCATCTGGGCGTGGCACCTTAGACAGGTAAGGCATTTTCACCCCAAACAACCTGACACAACATTGCGTCTGACCACAATCATTGGTGTCTATGCAAAAGGCGGGCTTACACAAACCTGATAAATACATAAAAAACAATACATGTGAAGGTGGAAGCTAAAAAAAATCATGCAGGAATCGATTTTGGTTGACACTCGTGGTTGAGTTTTCTCAAGCTGTGAGCTTTCAGAAAGGAAGGTTTTATCAAAAAGTATATATATATATAAGGTAAGCTATAAATTAAGTAATTTCGGAATTTTCTCCCTCAATTTTTATTGACATTGAAGTGTACATTATTTCAAAAATTTAATGATAATATTATATATACTTATACCTTTTCCAGGCTTTAGTTTTCTTTTCCCGATAAGATGAGTTCGTACCTCAGCTTTACTGACTTTGGTACATTTATATCCTTTGCCGCATGGACAGTCATATGCAACATTGCGTTCAAGTCGTTTTGATTGTTCAAGGAGGCATTCTATAATATTAAATTGTATTATAAAACATAAAGAGTGTAGCTAGAAACAATATACAATTAGTTTCTTTGGACAAAATAGTGTTGCGATCATTTTCTGTGTATCTTAAGGCAGGATTAAGGGGTTATCGGTGGTAAGTATTCAATAAAACTTTACTTTTCAACAAACAATTATGATAATAGAAAAAGGTCAAAAATTGGCCCACTAATTAATGCATATTTGAAAAATTAACATCAAATGTGTCCAAATGTGAAATTGTTACGTATACATCTTATTGGGATATACCATATGAAATGGAAACTAAGTTTCGTACCTTCATTAAGACCCTTCAGGGATTTACATGTTCCCATTGTTTTGTTCAACATGTTATTAGTGTACCTCCCAGTAGTTTTATCAAAGGCGCAGCATTCGTTACACCAACAATCGAATTTGGAAGAGCATGGTAACCCTTTGCGTGTCTCAACACATATCTGGATAATTCAAGATATATAGATCGGTACAATATATTTAAATTCAGGATGGAGACATACCCTAAAGTGGTTTATGTAGAGACTTAATTGTTTGCATTGTTGTACATGTTAAAAGCTTGGTTTTCAGAAAATAATCACCGATGTTGAAAATCGAACCGGAGCAAATGTGACCACGGTATTAATTAGTTAGTATAATATATATTAGTGTTAGTTAGTGTACAAATAGTGACTGCCATTGAGGGAAATAGTGCAAAATATTTTCCTCAAGGGAATATCCTGTCCACTGACATGTTCCCGAGGCTAACTATTTATTCCCGAGAGGAAAATTTTTACACTATTTCCCGAAAATGTGGCAGTCACTATTTGTTTTATTATATACCTGATAAGTACTCTGTAAACAAAAACAAAATGAGAAGTCTTTTCATTTCAATATCAAATGTTCACAGGTTCTTATTGGCATTTAAAGGCATTTTACCTTTCAACTCCTATAATCTCAGATTTGGGGGAAGATAAAATGTACTATTGACTGGTCACATGACCTAACTGGTGATAAGTACAATTCATCTTCCCTGAAAGCAGGGATTTAGGACTTTCCAGGGAATTAGTTCATCTATTCCATGTCATGTGACCATGAATAAGCCAATGAGCATCTAGAATACATTTGAGGTATATAATAATATAAGATAATGGTGATTACCAAACTGGTCGATCATTATTCACAAGCATAATCGCGGACTTTGAAGGCGTTATAAATATCGGCATATTTTAATTTGTATCTGTATTCGTGACCATATGACTTGTTTTCCCTATTAGATGTCTAGATGATGTTTTAGATGATTGATAGCTGTTTGAAATGCCAATAAACTAAACAATACAATGGATAAGCGTTTTCAGTGTCATTTAGGTCGATGTGACATTGACATTATTAATCTCTTAATCCTCAATCTGATCAGTTCCTTCATCTGATTTCAATTGACACTCAGAAGCATCAACAAACGTTATTTATCTTAAATGGAATCTTAGCCCGAAATACTTTGAATTAGCTACCTTCCCGATGATGTATATTTATTAATTCATTTATTTTAAAAACTTGTGTATTCATCACTAGCGGATCAAGAGGGCATTTCAAATCTATCATGGAAATATTTTTGGACCCCTTCATCCAAAAGTGGGCCCAAATTTTGAAAATCTTAGGCCCATGTATTGATATTTTGCCCTAAAAGGCCAAAAAGGCCAAGTAATGCCCAAAAATTCCACAAATTGAGTCCCTACAACAGTTTTGGGCTCACAATTTTTTCTTTCTTTCTGGGCCCACCCAAGGAGGGTCCCAGTGGCCCACTCTGGATCCGCCAGCGTTCTTTAAAGAGGCTCTATGCCATAGGATAGCACAATCAAGTCCCCTCTGGACTTTTTTGCATATTGAGTTTCACTACATATATACCCATCAACTTACAAAAGAAGAATCCCCCTCCATCAGTGTTAATTTTGCGATTGTGCTGGCCGGTCTAATTATTTTCGAAGAAATTAATTCAATCTGAAGTTTGAATATTCCGGGAAAGTCCTCCTGTTATCTGGTTGGTCGTTGAATTTGTTTATCATGAGCCTGATTGGCTGCCTGGTTCAAGGCGCTAGTTGGCGCTTGTTTGACTCAATGGGGAATTCCCCTCGGTAGCTGAGGAATCGATTGTGTTTAATTCTGGAGTTTGGTTGTTCTTTTGATTATTTCCGATATTTCGGCAAAAATATACCCAAAAGTTATTCTCAAGATATATCCATGGTATGTGAGATATTATATGAGCAATAAAAATAGGACAACATTGATTGTCTGGGGGAGAAACTTGTGGCATAATGCATCTTTATCTTAGATAAAACATGACATTCCTCTTCCAGATAAATACATTACTTAACTTAAATGAGAAAATTCTGTATTTAAATTCTAAACATACTAGTAAAAACATGCAATCCAATCTACTTGTATATTTACCTTGATACAATGCGACATCCTGTTGTAATAAATACTGTATCGGGACAAGTTCATTAATGCACTTCTCAAAAGAAATTAAAAGTTAAGTTTAATGTTATGCTTATACGTCCCATGACTGCTACATATGCTAACGCCCAAACGAGGATGCCCTTAAAGGTAAAAATCAGAGACCGACGAAGCATGCGCAGGTTAATAATATCCGGTTTAAGCAGTAAACTAATCGACAGCCCTCTACTCCAAATCGAAAATACTACAATATATTAACTAGATTTGTATATTTGTAAAATACAGAGGTCAATTGTGACATAACATCTAATTAATATAATACATAGCTTCCTGTATATAGATTTAATGACAAACTAACAATTTATTGTTTTTTACCATGTCAACTTACTAACTCGACCTAACAAAATACTCATTTAAAACATACTTACATATAACATACCCAATATTAAGATAATGTATGAATATTTTGAATCCATTGTACTAGTGCCCATGTAAGCGTCGTGTTAAAACTATCCACGATTGTACAACCGAAGGGAAATTATGATTTGGTTCATTGCATTTTGCCGAAGGACGTGAACTATCACTACTAATACTATATTTTACACGACTTAACCATATTACAACATAAGTTTTATGCTTTTTTTCTAATACATAACATTATCATGATTAATTGTATTTGATAAGTCATTTTACAAACCCAGATCAAATTGTTGTTTAAGTTATAACGACTCTAAATTTATCAATTAAATGAGGTCGTATTTATTTATTTTTCTTGTTGACATGATCGTAATTTTTGCATTTTATGAAGTGATGTTTTGAAGGATGAAATCAAAGCGATCACTGAAATAGAGACCCAATATATCTTTGGCTTTATATTCATAATTAATTTCACCCTAGACTAGGCCCAAATCTATAGCAGAAAAATCCCTTGTTTATTAGCCTGACTTCATGCTAAGTATCACTCTGACTCCTACAGTGAGATTCATTTAATTCCATAAACAACTTTGAATCTAAATGTTAGATTTATTTTTTTACCCGAAATTTTTCAATTTCGCCATTTCAATCCTTGTGTCATTGCTAGGTAGTTTCTAGGCAACATTATGGACCGAAATTATAATGGAACAATAATAAGTCATACATTCATACATCTGCAATATAAATCACTAATTGTCATTTGTTGTACATCTTGTACATCAAGCTGATATTGCTGTCACGTAACATTGATTTCAATGGGAAAGTATATAACTGTATGCTTTTAACATGTTTTAGTTTCTTTTGAAAGATAATAGATTATTCTTTAGGGCAGTGAAATTTATATTTTAAGCACAAAAATTGTGAAAAATTGAAAATTTATCACAAAATGTCAAAAATCTACATCCCTAGGTCACACTGACCTCGAATTGACCTTTGTTGACTTACTTTAAAAAATATTTTAACGAAGAGTTTTTTTAAAACAGACAAGTTATAAAGATTCGCAGACAGGGGGGTGTCATTTGGACTGAATGTTGTAAAAAAGGTTGCAGACATAAGGGTAAAAAATTGGAAAGAAATATTGTAAATATAAAGATGTCATTGAATGTACCAAAGGAGTAAATTAAGTATGTTTTTTATTAAAACATTATATGTTTTATTTCAAGTGAAGTCACCATGATATTAAACACATCTTCAATCTCTCTGTAAAAGTATGGATTTGGACCCGATGTTGTCACTTTTTTAAAAAAAGTGTTATTATATTTTCTAAAAATATGATCTTGTTTATTTTTCAATTTTAATACAAGGGCCGATCCAGAAGTCCTGGTAAAAATGCTCTTACTTACAAGTTTATCATTCGTTTTGCACAATATTTTCAGAGTTACAAGTTCATTTCCTCACAAGTCAATAATGTTTGTAACAAATATTTATGAAGTAATGGTTGGTATGGTAACCTCAATAGTGCTATAGCGGAAAGGGTAATATGAGCGAAGTTCAAAATTAGTTTTCCTTTGAATAAATGATCAAAACCCATAGGTTGCTTAATTCTACAAATAACTGTTTCAATAGTATAATGCTGTTTATGTCCTATTCTCATTAGTGTGAAATCATTGTAAATCTTGTATGCTAAAGAAAACATGAACGCCTACCCTAAATACAGGTTACCATGGCAAACATATCTCAACATTTATTCAAGATAGTAGTTAAACTATTTAAGCATTGTATTATGTAATTACAGAATAATGTTCTGAAAAAATGAGAGGAGTATGTGAAATATAACAAAATGAGAGCATTTTTATCAGAATATATGGATCGCCCCTTTTATATCCAATGCAAAATGTATGTTTACCCGAGATCAGGGCCCTCGGGTGGGCCTAGACAATTATTGGCTTAAACAATTTGGGATCAACACTTTAGTAGGGCCTCAATGTGCCTTTTCGGCCATTATTTGGGCCTCACATTTTCAAATTTAGGATCTTAAACATAATTTTCTCGAAAGCACGGACATTCTTTCTGATTAGAAATGTGGGTTCCCTTGTTAGCTTCTGGATCCGCCGGTGTATAGGGTGTATATTGACTATTCAAACTGTGAAGTGTGTAAACTGCAACAAGGCTCCCAGTGACCCCGGCTCTTATTTGTCAAAATGTGTAATTATGTAGCCAATTAATTGTAACAGCAATAAGGGTTAGAGGTTTTGACCTCGGAAGTGTGAGATGATATGTAATGCCTGGGTCACATTTGCTCCGATTCATCGGCCGGCGCCGATTGAGTATTCTGTTCAAAACTGAATACAATAGTGAGCAGGATACTCAATCGGCCGATCACTGGCCGATGAATCGGAGCAGATGTGACACAGGCATAAGTGAGTCATGCCTCGGTCACATTTGCTCCGATTTTTACTACGGCGCTCGGCAGATTGAGTATTTTGTTCATAACTATAATTCATGACTACATGTATAATTAGGCTACGTTTTTAACTCCCCGCGGTCTAGTGCATTGCATAATAAGTTTGCCCATATCTCAGCACCCTGATGTCCAATCAACATCATTCGAGTACCTATGTGTTCCTTACACGTTTGGGCATCGGACAGGTAATCCGAAATTAAAAGGTATTGATGCCCTTCGTTTAAATTTCATTGTGAACCATAAAATAATCCTTATTGGCTCCTGCCAGAATGCCATTGAAACGCGTAATTATTTTCTTCATTAAACAACTTGCTTGACCAAATAGAAAGGTACCGGCCATTCCTTGATCATGTAATTTTGATGGGTGACCTCAACGCAAAACATTTCATATGGTCAAGATACCATGCAAACTGTGCAGGTACAAAACTTTTGGAATTATTAATGACTATGTTCAACTTATTAACGAACCAACTAGAGTCACAGACCAAAAATACCATTCTAAATCATGCGCAGATCATACTTTGTCAAATCCACCCAAGATAATCGACCACTGCGACATATGTGATCCTATAGGCAAGACCGATCAAACTACAATTAATGCAGAAATTAAGATTGGAGTAACTGAATCCAAATAATCCTAAATAATCATATTTCAGCTTGCCAACATGTTTCTTTCTGGTTTAGCATACAAAATTACATGAGAAACACTTTTTAACACAAAATGCCTATCACATTTTACAGAGAGATCTTCTGAAGAAAAAACTTGTCTAGAAGGAACTGTGTGAAAACCCCTCGAACTGTTGCAGAGTAGCTTTAAAAATGAAATACTTTATGAAATGTATTTGTAGGGGTTATTAAAGGTGACACGTACCTTGAATATGGGTCTGGTCCTTCTTTTCACTCCATCGCTGCTATTTCCCCATTTGTGAAAGAAATTACGATGGCCGAGATGTTGGATAAGAACAGACAAGAGGTTAAGAAATGGTTAGCCGATGACAAAGATGCAATTAATTGGGACGACTTCATTGAACATTATGTATATATGGATGCCAAAAGGTGCTTAATATCTATGTTCACTTTACTTTTCAGTTCAACGGAATCACATTCTCACGATACGATTTAGAATATCCAACTTTTCAAATAGTAATTTAGTGAAAGTTATCAATCGATCAAAGAAAACATTTGAGTTTACCTCTGATTGACAAGTGTAGCTACAAGTTTCATATGAAAATGTATTGATTTTAAGGGATCACTACGAGAAAAGGAACAAACACAAGTGTCTATACGGAAAATATCTACATGTATGTCCATTATCAAACGTACCAAAATGAACATTCTGATATATATTTCAACCTTCTATTTGTAGTTACAAAACTGATCCAACTGGGGCTGATGATATCGAAGCAAGGAAGGTTCTAATGCGAAGGTTCTAATGCGAAGCAAAATGAAAGACGTGATCGCATGCGATGTAGTATTTTCTAATCCTATCGATCCAATTGAAGCCACTTTCGATGTAGTAGGCAGTAGTCTCATGGTCGAGGCTGCAGCAGGATCGACGTACAAACAGCTTTTGAAGAACGCTTCGAATCTTGTTAAACCGGGCGGTTTCTTTATTCAGTTTGTGTGTGGTCCAAACTGCTCTGACTGGAGATGTGGTTCATCTTTCTTCACGGTAATTGAGTCTCAAACGCTTGAAGATAACATAGCATCTCTTGATGAGGCAGGATTCGACACTCTGGAGACGTCTTGCATCAAGCTGCCACCATATCCAGATGGCAAATTTGATGGAACAGAAATGTACCTCATGGTGTGTAAGAAACGAAAATAAGTTGACATTAGTGACCTTATCTTAATGCCTCGTCAAAACATAGACAGTCATATACTTGAATAAGCAACTTGTAATTTAAAGGGCTTCTTAACCTGTCTTCACTTCATGTTTCAATTAATACAAACCCTTTTTGAGAAAATAATTTTGATCCAAAAAGGATCCAGGAAGGACCAAGGAGCAATATCAACAATGTAAACACGTAATTGCTTTTTTTAACAAAATACATTATTGAACCTAGTCTTATATATAATTAGTGACCCTAAAATGTGTATGTTTAATTGTTTCTAAACCGACCCTGTCCTGTCATTATGCCTTTGAAAGATAATTGTAAAAAGTGTCCTCCCGTATTCGTTTAATTGTAGCTCAAATCATATATATAAACCTGGACTTTACAGGTGAGCGCGCGAAATGAGACATTAGGCTACTGTTCATTAACATTTGTTTCCTTGTAAATGTTTATAATATTTTATAATGCAGAGCTACTGAAAATGATTTTAAAATTAATTTATATTATCTATACAGACTATTTCATATCAAAACCGTCTGCCGTGTCAACGGGATCAACTTTACCAGGCGTGAGTTAAGACGGAACAGGTGGGGTAAGACGGAACGGTTGATATTATCTGAAGGAAACCTAAATAAAACGCTCCGATTTGATATACTTTTATTTTAAGTTCAATAGCACACGTGATGGTGTTTTTTGTAACATAACCTATATGGAACGATTTTCCAAAAAGCACTTGCTACCTATGTAAATATGGTACAATGTTTAATATATTTTAAGTTTAAAAAAAAGTTAACACAATGATTTACCTGTCGACTATGCTCATACACAGATCAACACTAGTTAGGAAACGCCTTCTCTTTGCATTAACACATGAAAAGTTTCCAAATAGTGAAATGACATTGACCTCATGCCACCTAATCATGGGTCGCCAAGGGTCACAGCACCCTCCAAGGTCCTTGAAACGCCAAAAACCTAAATATTGACCTTTGACCTTGAGATGACCTTGACTCATAAACCTTGACCTTGACTTCAGGTCACGTTATCATGTTGACAAGGGTCACATCAGCCCCCTAGGTAAAAATGAAAATGGGGTAAGTACCCCACCCCCACGTGAATCTACAAAATGCCATCTGCTATCAAAATGAGAAAGCTGAAAGCTATAATTTTTCTTAAATACAGGTTTTTAAATTGTCTGTTTAGAAATATATAATTTTCTATGTATTACACGTATGTTTTTGATTCTACGGGCGATCAAAACCGTATGAAATGTAATAAAAATTGATAAAAAATGATATATCTACCCTTATTTAAAATATTACTTGCAGCCGACTGGGGATTGGCAGTTGAAAAGAAAGATTACGTGATATATTTCCAAAAAGCGACTTCAGCGAACATTTTATAACATACATACATACATACATACATACATACATCCGTCTTACCCAGATCTCCCGAAAGGAGACATTTGTGTCTAATTATGTCTCTCATCTGTTTTTAATACTATTTTCACACAATTAAAAACACTCAATGTTTTGAAGCATTCTGCAATATAAAATACTTACAAGAAAAAAGAGAGCAAGATTAACAGCACAACGCCAAGTTGGATCATTCACGAAAGTGTTCCACTTGACTGAACTCTGCCATGATGACAACTGCAAGAAATGCCATGATGACAACTGCAAGAACTGTACCATACTGAAACTAAAGTCCTATAAATTGCCCTCAAAATGAGCAGAATTTGTCCTCTAAATAATCCTTGCCCACATCCTTTGACATATTCAATATTCCATGTGATCTGTAACTTTGCAATCCTATGATACTTCCCACGAGGAACAAAATTATATGTATATCATATGATAGGGTGACATTGCTACATTTATGAATTTAGAGGGGGTAAATACATATGAAACACTCTGGATGTAGTCAGAATGATTGGTCAAAGTGCCGGAAAGTACCATAATGTGGCTCGTACGTTTTAAATACTGTAGTATTTTTACTACAGAGATTTTTTATTGTATTTTTTCCTATGTATTGCTTGAGTATATATATTTCAAATGATAAATACAAAAAGTACAGTGGTAAATAACATTGATAGTTTGTCATATAATATCAAAATGTGAACATTAATTATACAAGATGAAACAAGCAATACATACTAATTCGCACGTACATATATGTTTTATATTAGTATTGATTTTTAAATGGAAAAAATATTGACATTAAACAAATATTAGTATATTCCTCGGGGTTTATAGCAATTAGCAAACTGGGACGATAATAAACAAAGCTGACAGTAAGTCATAATAAAAAGTGTCGAAATAAAAATAGGGTATTGATCTGTGATACAGACAGAAAAGCTATTTTCCAGACTTAAAGGCAACACAACTATGAATTATGTGATTAACCCATAATGTTAGCAAGAATCAGTCACAACCGTATACAAATGCATAAGACAAGATTCCAAACTTGAATTATAATATATGTGACAAATCTAGCTTATCTCACCTAATTTTCCGGATTACCGAAGGGCAAATTATTTATGTTGTCCTTGAACAGCATAACGTTTGTAACGATACATTCAATTTTTAAAACTCGTGATTCACGCATCTACCTACACGTTGCCAGAGCCTGTGGTCGGATGTTAAAATTAAGAGAATGTGCTATTTATAGATAATTTTACAGACTTTTAATTAATGACTATTGCTATTTATTGAATTTTTACATGCCAGTGTCTTATAGGTCGATGACGGCCTGGGTTATTGTTGTTTTATGAATTTTTAGTGTATTTATTAACCATGACACTTAAATAGAATAAATATAATATAATATACAAATTATAATAATTATGAATAAAGAGAATTCCAACTGGCACTCCATCTCATTAGTTGGATATAAGTAATAGAACTTAGCTTTACGCTTATAAAACCGAATTGATTAGTTTATTATTTTATTTCAACCACATGAAGTAAAACATTATAATAACCAAGTCTATCAACTTGTTGTTGCATTAGATGCAGTTGAATTTCTAAGTTCTTTTAATAATTGTTTTCTTTCCTCTTCAAGTCTCATTATCTCCCTTTCTTCCTCAGACCATCTTTGGCAAGTTCCTGAAACGTGTAGATCAAAAATAATAGGGAGGTTAAGTTGCACGTTTTTAAGAGAACAAGTACGCGAACGTGTACTATTTCGAATCCCGTCGATTGTCCCGCACTCAATTCACTTTTCCAGGTACATAATTAGAGGTTATGTCACTATCGTGGCATATACATGTATGCCCGAGGTCTCAGTGATATATGGCCCGACCTTGGGAGGGACATTGATCTCTGAGAACCGAGGGCATATGTGCCACGATAGTGACATAAACGATTTATAACATACCTATGATGATGTAGACTGGTCAGAGAGTACCGTTTTCTTATAGAATTGACAAACAAATGGTTTGAAAATGATTGAAATGAGTTTAGAAAAATTGCTCGCGCAGTTTTACCTTCAATTGATTGGTTATGACGTCAGCGCCTTAACCAATCAGAAAGTTAGCGGGCGCGGGCTTTTCAAAACTTATATTGGCCCGCTGTCTTGTGTACACTTTGCACTATACATCATCATAGGTATGTTATAATTATAATTATTATATACCCAATATGTAACACTAATCCTGATTGGTCAATACCTAGTCACGTGTTCCGAAATGGATTTACTATTTCCCTCGGAAAGTTATATTCCCTCAAATGTGACGTCAGCGGGAATATACATTTGAACTATTGCTCGCTGACGTCACAATTGCAAGTTCTATTACCCTTGGAAACGTCTGTGCATCATCACTGCGCAGACGAAAAACAGAAAAATGGAGGATGAGCACAAACACAAATCAACTCCGTTCACCATGACAGACGTGCGTGAACGATACAATACTTTTCTGTTTGCGGCTTCGGGAATAGTACATTGTAGAGGATATTCCCTCGGGGAAATAATTTACACTATTGCCCTCAATGGCAGTCACTATTTGTATATTATTTTCCAGATTTAATCAAGTAAACAGCACAAATGCAAAACGTCGTCCACAAAGAATCATAATCCCACATGTTCATGTTCTCGCACACGTACATTTTTTAAAAATGTGTATCTTAACCTCCCTTATATGCGTTTGATGGGTGATTGACGTGACTGCACTCATGACGACATTCGACGTTAATCAGTGCGCCTTCATATGACATAATTTTAAGACCAATCGGAGACTTGCATACAGGCATACATTAACGCGCGTTGATTTTCAACAAACGTCTTTATTCATCGCGTAGATTCACCTACAATAGAGACGTTCCGCAAAACGTTTTATAGCAACGTATCTAAAATCCGCACCGCATTCACCAGATTTATGCGTAGTGTTACGCGGAATATGGCATATATTCATGGTTGCGCTGTATTTGTGATACGGGTGAAAATGCCATTTCGCATTTTCCGCAGTGAACATGCGATACATTGATTTCAGTAAATACCCGATGCTCAGCTGCGGAATATGTCATACTCACTTGCGTTATTTGCCATATACCGCAGGTGAGTATGACATATACCGCAGGAGAAAACGTGATACAGAAAGACTTGATTTGATTGGTTGTCAGAATTGACTCTTAATGTAAAACGACACTGGATTACCAATTGAATGTTTATTTGTCATTGAAATAATTTATAAACTTGTTCCCGTTCGTTCAATCGATGGAACTGACAATCGCGTAGTTCCGTAACCCGTTCTCATTGGTGAGTGAGTATGCTAAATACATTGCAGGTAAATATGTTATATTTTTGCAGAATACGACATATATTTGTATCGTGTTTACCGCGTAACACGTAGTATCATTTTCCCCAGTTGCACTTATAAGCAAGTACTTAAACATGGTGCCATTTTCGAATATCTACAAACTCACCAGGGGCTCCTATTTTATCTTTTTTCTTCGGATTCAGAGGTCTACACGTGTATTGTTGTTCTTTGCAAGGACAATCGACAAACATCGGTTTAGTCTCTTGTAGTGGTTTGAACACACCGACCATGCATGCTGAAGTTATTATGAATGTTCAAATTGAAATGAATATCCAAATGTACATGATTCATGAATACTTCCAAATTACAGCAAATATTTCCAAGTCTTGAATACAAAAGAAACCACTCGTGTTAGTGTCAACAAAAAAGTTCTAAAGACGCTTCGTAAGGTTTTATGTCCTGTTGCAGAACCTCTGTTTTCGATGCTTGGAAATAGTAATATAGACAGTCCTTGATTTGTTTTCACAAATTTAGCAAAATCCCTTGGAGTTTTAGTAAGTTATGGCTACGTTTAACAGGTGTCCTTTTATGAGCAAAAGTGCTATCAAAAATCCAATTTAGAAATTCACTTTGAAAAGCTCTATTTATAGGTAACTACATACATTTCTACTAAAACATAATATCGGTCATTTATTGGTTGATTTTGGCTATACTCAGGACAATCAATTTAAGTGTATGGAAGTAATCAAGGGTTGGATCAAGGGTCTATTTTTGCCTAAGGGATTCACTTTTAATATTGAGAAATGCATATTATCATGCAAAACTATACCCAAAAAGTGTTTAGACACATTGAGAGAGTTTTAGATTTTCTTATAAAAGAATTTGTTACCGGCGTATTTTTTGACTTTTGATATATTTTTGGTAATTTTCTCAATTTCCACAGATAAAATAATTTTAATAATACTTAGATATCATTTAGTTCTTTAAAAAAATAAAAAAATAAATTTGGTCTTATTTTCTACATTCTAGATAAAAATTGTTTCTGATTTTACCACCAAAACATCTGATGATAACCAGTAGGAGGATTAAAGATTAAAAAGAAAGAAAGTGATGATAAGCAGTAAGAGGATCAAAGAAAAAAGGAAAAATCAAAGATAGAGTTTACTGTCTTTTCTGATGACTACAACATTCGATAACCTTTATTTAATTTTTCCGGATATTATAAGGTTCTAAATAATTTATCATATGTAGAATAATTATGTAAACCATGAAGAAATTCATTTTGAAAATATTTTCAAATAACTCTTGAAAATCGCCCCTTGTTGAAATCCTCCATGACTTCAAAAAACTCAAGCGATTTGCTTTAAAAACAGGAATCAGTAGAGCAATGTCAATACTAAAGGTTCCGAGTAATAAAAATTAGGGTTCTTCAACAGGACATATTTCTAATTTTTGGGGGGTTTTGGTTACTACTATGTCATGATGGGAATTAAATTCGAAGGACATTGAAAATCACCGCTGAAAAGGAAGTCAAGAGGAGATTTGGACTGCGTTTTTTAACTGCCCGCGACGCAAGTCAATTGCATTATATTTTAAAATAAGTTCTCCCCTAAGTATCACGAAAAAGAACTGCCCTGCGGTGCAAATAACATGGATACACGTTTTTAGAAAAACAGGTTATCCGAGCGTACTTATGATACCGCTGATTACGATGTGTCAAACTTGTGGGCTAACCATGTGTGTCAACCGCGTCGGATCGTTGCTAGTGCAACGCAGGAGTTCTGCCTTTCAAAAGAATTATGTGTGTGAAAGTACGCTATTATTTTAAAACACATGAGCATGGTATTTGTTCTGCGGGGCTTATTGCTCTTTTCAGTGATACCTGGGAAGAGAATGCATTAAAATATTACGCAATTAACTAGCTACGCGGTCATTCAAAAATACAGCCTTGGTCAAATTGAAACCAATAAGCCCCTCGTGATATCTTACCATGATAATCATCAAAAGCATCATTATATTTTATTCATACAAATCTATTGAAGAAACTAATATTCTATAAGTATGGAGCTAAAGAAGATTTGTGCGTGTCCACTTCGAATAATTCCATACGAATGAGATTCTTTGTCAGTCTGGTCAATATAACGCACTTTGATATCACTTTGATGAGGAATGAACCCAGCAAGTGAGTATATATATGTTGATATCACAATTAAAACCAAGACATGTTCCAGCAATATGAAAATTATTTAAGGTATGAGATGTAAAACTGTTTGTATTGATGTACACCTCATTTCTATATGTACAACTTTTGCAAACGTGAAATGCCATCAATTATTAAAAATATAAAACGAAACTTCTCACTTAATCAAATTACACTCAATTGAAAACCAGACACAAACAAACTTCATATAATGCAGTTGTAAAAATTAGGTCGATGTAATCTTACACCATAATTGATTTCAAATATGATCGAGTTAAATCAATCTTAATGTAAAATACCTTCACCACATTTTCCTAGCTGCCTACACGTTCCTTCTTCTGATACTACTCCAGTTTTCTCATACTGCTCCTTGTCCAAAACACAGCATTCATCTTTCAAGCAATCCTTTTGTTTCGTGCACTTGTTCTTTTTACATTCACCTATCATGTTTTTAAAACAAAAATAGCTGTTGAGAGTGCAAACTGCCCTGGGGCACAAATGTATTAAAATGAACTTTATTTTTGACTTTGAGTTGCAGCCTATATGGAGAGTAAGAAGCAGGATGTAATTTGTAGTATCTCATATATATCACCCGGGAATATGCATCATATCCGAGGAGCGGGCAGGACATATTGTATATGTCCCGCTCCGGGTCAAATGCGGGCAGATATAATATATCCATCCCGTTCCAGGGAATTTTCAAAATATTTAAACATTTAGATATCTGTTAAAAATGATATAATTCCATTGTATTGAACTGAAGAAATATAACGAAAATATTAAATACAATTTATGCTTTTACAATGATAGGCCTATCTTGTTATTTGAAAAAGGTGGAACCCCAAACCCACTCAAATATGAGATACACTAGTTATGTATGATCGGTTTTGGATATAGGGTATTTCTAAAACCTCCCAGTACATAACCCTTATTCATTCCGTACTTAGTAGTGTTATAGGTAAATAACATAACATGATAGCTGAAGTGAGGGGGTTATATCAGCGGGTGTATATCACCCGCTCATCAGATCTACGACGTCGACAGATTCAGAGAGTAGATACTGAGCCAGGGGGCTTGACTATGAACCCTCATAACCTACTAAGTAAAGAATAAATCAGTTATTAAATGCTCGATTCTTGCATCCTCCGATCACAGGGCTTCAAAATCCAAAATATCTTCTTTCTTTTTACACCCTGCTATAAGCATTTAGCATTTCCTCGATTAAGAACTCGCAATTTGATTGGCTGTCGCAACACTGTGATTTTTGATCCCTCGGCGGTAAATACAATATATCAACCCGAGGGGCCCTCAGATATACCCCCTGTATCAAAAATCTCCCATTAAATAACCTCTTTGTAGATGACGTATATATTATGTATTTACTGCATCACTTGGACACATTAGTATATAGATTAAATGTGACAAATGACTTGTGCACCGTTGCTCGTATATTACAGAGCCTCCTACACAACTTTCTTTGAACACAGAGATTAATCTCGAAAAGGTGTAAAATAACAATATTTTACAGTTTCAATTTTTCAAACATGTTTATATAAAGTTTGATTTTCCATCTCATAAGTTAACCATATAAATACAGATTATGAAATAAATACAGATACTTCTCATTAGAGTAAATCTGGTTTGCACATACCATCATGTAATGAATTACTAATTATAAACATCAACTCACCATGTAATGTAATTGGGTTAAAACCGAATCTGGTCCATAATGCCCCTTTTGCGTCGTCACATACGAGATCACGTTTACACGGACAATACTGGTCATATGCTGCACGGTTATTTCGAATATTTGCTGATTTCAAACAAACTGAAATATGTAGAAATGACTGGTGCACAAAATGCATATAACGTATATTGAAAAATAACTTACAACGGCATGTCAGCAACCTGATCTTTTCAGCTTTATTTGGTGTATGATTGTTATTGTATGATTGTTATGTTTTGCCATGATATCTAGTTTATCTTCCTTGTTGTATAATTAGTTGCGTCATTTTGGAATTGAACAAGTACATGGTATCATACCTTGACGTTCTTTTGATAATTCCGTGCACCTCCCCACCGCCTTTCTGTTTGCCCTTGGAATCTTAGAGAGATACGGTAATTTCACACCAAATAATTTTATACAACATTGTGTCTGACCACAATCGTTTGAATTAACACAGAACTGGGGCTTGCATAGACCTACAATTGATAAGATGTTTTTGAATAGAACTATACTACTAATAGAAATTGCTTGAAATCAAGACAATCAATTGAATGCTTGGTCCAGCAAAAATGCAGAATGCAAAGCATTTGACCGAGTGGTATTCAACTCAATAGTACAATTTATACACTATGATTACAAAACATTAAAATCGAATTATATACAAATACAATGCAATATAATGCGATGTATCTCATTCAATATGGTGCCAATTGATATGATACGTAGGATTAAGCTATTCTTAAGTTATACATCTTTTTAGAATATGTTTTTTTTGCTTCATAATTATTTAAAATGTAAAGTTCCTGAATGAAAACATGACGCCATTTAAGTCAATTGTTAGTTATTTTGAGTTCGAAACCATGTCAAATGGTCAATGCAAAATCAAAAAAAGTTAATCAGTTTTAGTTTAAAACCATGTTAAATGGTCAATGCAAAATCAAAACAGGTAAGTTATTTTAAGTTCAAAACATGATAAATGCTCAATGAAAATATGATTGGCCTAACCTATTCCTGATTGGAGTTTCTTTTTTCCAATATAAAAGTATCTTCTTTCAGTTGCACCAACGGGTGTGCATTTGTAACCTTTTCCACACGGGCATTCATATGCCACATTGCGTTCAAGTCGTTTTGATTGGTCAAGGAGACATTCTATAATTTACAAATTCCGATTATTTAAAATACATTACATCGCATTTTCTGCAAAATATATTGATTTATAAAAGGCTTTTGAAAACATCCAATGCAGTGATGTATACGCAGATTTTTCATTTTATCGTTCAATGTCAAATAATTAAAATAATTGAGAAATGTATTTTAGTGTTTCCATTGATATATGTATAACGAAGTGAGAATACTGGCGATTGATGACCTCATTACAAAAAGCAATCCAAGTATCGACGTTTATAAATAAATGATAACTTGCAATAGGTCATTCATAATAAGCGGACTTACTTAATGTGACCATTACAGATGCCCTGGTAAAGGTAATCTGATGGAGTTAGCGGCCTAAGTGCTCGGCATATGACCGACCAATGATTCTCCTGAATAAGTCTCTTGTGAGCCTTTTGCATTTAGAAATTTCATAAGCCACAATCAAGCTGGGGTCATTTGTCGATGAAAAGTACATCGTATTGTTTCCAAAAGACACCCCAACTGCACCGAGGAAACCTGATGTATCAATCGGTATTGATAGTTAATATATAACCATTAGTGGTTGCTTGCCGAGCGAATAGGCTGCTTATTTTCCAGATATCAACCCTTAGAATATATATAGTGGGAGTGATTATAAATATAGTCATCTACGTACGAATCTCAATCTTATGCTACTGCCGAAACATAAGCAACACAAATCACAAATGAGAAACTTCGCAGAGTCAGGATGCATCAGAAGTTTGTTGAAAAAGTACAAAAAATGATATAGATAATATAGATTAGAATACTAGAAGCCAACAATTACAGTATTGCTCTGTTCAAAGAATACCTTCATTGAGCACCTTAAGGAGTTTACAAGTCCCTTGTCTTGTTCCATTTCTTGTGGATACCTTTGATGATCCATCAAATACACAACATTCATTGCACCAGCAGTCCAGTCTTTCTGTACAAGGATGTCCAATGCGACTTTCAACGCATATCTGCAAAACAATGATTAGTAATTCCACTAGAAGTTTTGTCTCTGGATATACAATACAAAACAGTCCTACAAAGCTTTCAACGCATATCTGCAAAACAAAGACTAACAATCTCACGACAGATTTGTCTCTGGATATACAATACAAGGCAGTCCTACAAAGCTTTCAACGCATATCTGCAAAACAAAGACTAACAATCTCACGACAGTTTTGTCTCTGGATATACAATACAAGGCAGTCCTACAAAGCTTTCAACGCATATCTGCAAAACAAAGACTAACAATCTCACGACAGTTTTGTCTCTGGATATACAACACAAGAGTCCCACAAAGCTTTCAACGCATATCTGCAAAACTATGACTAGTAATTCCACTAGCAGTTTTGTCTCTAGATATACAATACAAGAGTCCTACAAAGCTTTCAACACATATCTGCAAAATAAAGACTAACAATCAACAAGTTCTCATCACATATCTGTAAAACAATGACTTACAATCTCACTGGCAGTTTTATCTCTGGATGTACAATAACAGGTGGTCCTACAAAGCTTTCAACAAATATCTGCAAAACAAAGACTGACAATCTCACTAGCAGTTTTGGATACAACACAATGTTGTCCGACAAATGTTCAATACATGGCTAACAATCTCAAAAGCAGTTTTGTTTCTGGATATACAATAAAATGCAGTCCGACAAAGTTTCCAGCACATATCTGCAAAACAAAGACTAACAATCTTACTAGAAGTTTTGTTTCTATTTCTGAATATACAATACAAGACAGCATGTCAAGGCATTTAACTATATCCTACTAGCATTTTCGTCTTTGAGCATCATAGTTCTGGCTGAATATTAATGCCGCAGTCACATTTGATCTACTGCAACCGTGCAGCGGCCTTACTTTCCCGAGATCTCGAGAGAAACAGCAGCATGACTTATAGTGATAAACACTACTTTGTATGTCTATTTTGTAAATCTGCGCCCGTTGTATGGCCGCCGTTGTGTATGTGGCTGAGGCTTAAAGGTATCAGATCTACTGCAGCTGACAGCGGCCTTACTTTCCCGAGATCTAGAGAAACAGCAGCGTGACTTATCGTGATAAACACTACTTTGTATGTCGATTTTGTAAATCTTCGCCCATCGTATGGCCGCCGTTGTGTATGTGGCTGAGGCTTAAAGGTATCAGATCTACTGCAGCTGACAGCGGCCTTACTTTCCCGAGATCTAGAGAAACAGCAGCATGACTTATAGTGATAAACACTACTTTGTATGTCGATTTTGTAAATCTACGCCCGTTGTATGGCCGCCGTTGTGTATGTGGCTGAGGCTTAAAGGTATCAGATCTACTGCAGCTGACAGCGGCCTTACTTTCCCGAGATCTAGAGAAACAGCAGCGTGACTTATAGTGATAAACACTACTTTGTATGTCGATTTTGTAAATCTACGCCCGTCGTATGGCCGCCGTTGTGTATGTGGCTGAGGCTTAAAGGTATCAGATCTACTGCAGCTGACAGCGGCCTTACTTTCCCGAGATCTAGAGAAACAGCAGCGTGACTTATAGTGATAAACACTACTTTGTATGTCGATTTTGTAAATCTACGCCCGTCGTATGGCCGCCGTTGTGTATGTGGCTGAGGCTTAAAGGTATCAGATCTACTGCAGCTGACAGCTGCCTTACTTTCCCGAGATCTAGAGAAACAGCAGCGTGACTTATCGTGATAAACACTACTTTGTATGTCGATTTTGTAAATCTACGCCCGTCGTATGGCCGCCGTTGTGTATGTGGCTGAGGCTTAAAGGTATCAGATCTACTGCAGCTGACAGCGGCCTTACTTTCCCGAGATCTAGAGAAACAGCAGCGTGACTTATCGTGATAAACACTACTTTGTATGTCGATTTTGTAAATCTACGCCCGTCGTATGGCCGCCGTTGTGTATGTGGCTGAGGCTTAAAGGTATCAGATCTACTGCAGCTGACAGCGGCCTTACTTTCCCGAGATCTAGAGAAACAGCAGCGTGACTTATAGTGATAAACACTACTTTGTATGTCGATTTTGTAAATCTACGCCCGTCGTATGGCCGCCGTTGTGTATGTGACTGAGGCTTAAGGAGGTATCTGATCTACAGTTCTCGGTTTAATGAATTAGTGGTGTGCCTTAGACACCTAGGACTCCAATCTCAAGAATAGAATAGAAATGAATACAATATAATACAATACAAACATGATGGTTTTGCTAAAATGTTTTACAATTCTGTCAGTTTTTTTTTCATGAGGAAGCAAAATGAATAGGTACGTACTGGGTATGGTAAAATCCGTAAGTTATTTTATTATTTTTTTCTAACTGATATTTTTCTTAGGCAAGCGGTCTTTTTAAAACAACGAGACGTCACCAGCGCGCAAAATACAATCTTTTTGTGGCACATAAAGAGAGAAGAAGTTTACATGACCGTGAGAAATGCATATAGATGAAGTTATCATCACAAAATAAATGTCGCTTTTTAAAACGAGTCATAAAATGTATGAAGGAGGGGGAGAGATATTCAGAATTACTCCACATCTGTTTATGTATTCACCCTCCTTCGTTCATCACTGTGAATGGTTTTGATGTTTTCCAACGTATTCTCAGTAATTAAAGAAACGTACATAATCAACATACATTCCATAATGATAATGATATATATTTAATAAAAAAAGTATTCATAGCAGGTCATGTAGACCTTCATTCACCGCTTGATTTATAGCAAAAATATTGACTTTTGCGCGTTGGTTACGATGTGCCTTTTTAGTAAATACAATTGTAGATCTCACACGTTAGAAACGTACCAGTTAATCATAAAATACATCAGATTTAATTCTTTAAAAAACAGCAACCACATTAATTTTGTGATGACAACTCTGTGTGACAATAGATTTAGTACAGGTCGTGTAGACATCCGCTTCTTGATTTATAACAAAAACAGATCTCCTAGACTTCCACCAACGCGAACACCACTTCTGACCTCGCGAACTACGTCCCTTGCACTCAAACAGTGATTCTCACATCGCGAGGGTGAAATCATTAGAAGCGCACCACCATTTCCTTGTTCCTGGGCATATTTCTCTACTCGCACACAGAGATCCGTGCTCGCGAATCACTTCTACATATTGGTTCGCGCGCGCGAGCACCTATTTACATTCTGCATGTCGTTGGAAAGGGCATTCATTTCTAGATAAATCAATGCTAGATTACCAAGGGTAGATTTTAATTTTGGATGTGTTTTGGAATGTACCCGTGCTGCTGCTATTTTAATGATTTTGAAGAAATCCAGCAAATACTTTTTTGTAATGATGAACACCCCAGCAACAGTCCGGACTTGAATGCTGCATAGAAACACGGTGTTTATATTAGGTTAACCTGCACATACCACATATTTCAAAGACGTGCATGCATATCTTGCTGATCCTACCTTAAATAGGATTGTCAAAACACCATGAAAATCTGGATCCGGGAATATATCATTAATTGCCCCTACTATACTACTACATTTTGATGTTTATTCAAACCAAAATGTCACCTAATCGTACTTTGATTTCAAATCGACTGAATTATGTAGATTCAGTGATACATCAGATGATAACCAAGCCTGCGTTAGTTATGAAAGTTAGTTATACACCATGTTTCAATGATATATAATGACAAAGCATATGTCCTGATTAGGGTAAATTTGTCATTGATAATTAATGCGTTACACAATCGATTAGGACCTATATAAAATGTGTGATCGTATAAGAAAATAAATGTTTTCACATTACGAGCTCTTTAAAACAATGCACACGTTGAATATTTTCCAAACACTCTCCGAGAGATTGGGAATTGAACACTAACCATTGTACATCATCAGGATACTAACGTCTACTAGTCCATCCGTATAGCTCAGCGGTATCACAGGTACCTCTTACGCAATAGGTCCCGGATTCGGTCCCCGGTTCAGGCAATTTAATTTGCTTGTTTGCGTAAAGTACTCCAGGGTGTTTGACTGAGTGGTCCACAACACTCTCCCTTGTATACCGTTCCGTATTAGTGAAATTGTTGACATTAATACGGAATAATACATACCATTTCATGAAAAATGGTGACCTTGTCCTACGAAAATTGAGATTATGTTTCACAGCAAGTTTGCATGGCGATACTGTATAGCACATGCTCTGGGGAATTGATTCTACTTTCTATAGACACCAATCACATCTCTGTCGATAAAATAATAAAAAAGCCTTAGGGTCCCAACCTCCTTTGTTTACATTTACAAAAACGTGAAAAAATGACAAAAGTTGTCAAAACTTTTTAAAGCTTAAACTTTTGAAACCGATTTCACTTGCGACAGATACTTTAGTCGTTGACGAACCGAACATGTCTGTTTGGTTCGTAATATCTCCAAATAAACGATTTCGACATTTTAAAAAACTCGATGCTAGTCCACGTGTTAATACGGAATTGGTCGACTCAATAAGTAAGCTCAATGAACGAAACGGTGCACTCGTGAATGAAATGAAGTTTAAAATAATTAGTAATGTTATACAATATGAGTGTGTTTTAACCCGGAGTATGAAACATAATACCTTGAATACGGGTTTCAGTAGCATGGATATTTAGTTTCAATTATATATTCACTCGAGCCATCAGTTTTAACTCTAGAAGACCGTTTCCTCCTCCTTTTCCCCAAAGTCAATCCCAATTTCTTCTTCTTACGAGGTCGATGTATCTTGAAAAGCGGGTTCAGGTTTTTGATGAAAGTATGATAACCGCTACGAAAAAAGGTTTGCCTGACTAGCCTACATGATTTGGTATCCTTATAAGAATTGAAAATAGACGTAAAATAACATACCTCATCTGTGTACGCGCAGTTCTTTGGGCGTTGCGGTGTGGGATAGTTAACACTTCATGGTAAATAATTGAGGGGATTGATAAGGAGCGCGTGATTAATTTGGGATTATAAACTTAGTACAGCTAATTAACAGGATTAACGTATGGTGAACTGGGTCAAACTCGGTAAACAAATCACTCAGATGTTTGTTGGTGCTTTTATTATCATGTTTTTTATATCCACAAGAATTGGTGTGGTTACATGTAATACAAGATTCAAGATTTTATTGTGTTTCAAGCCAAGCAGTTGGCGTCCCCACATGAATGTTACATAAAGGGATGAAATTATTTGTTACATACAATAATAAAAAGAATGAAAATGTTTATGAACAACCAATACCTGGTGTTGACGGTCGTTGAAGCCGTCGATAGAGTACTACCTATTAGATGCAATAAGAAAAAGTACAATAACCTATCTTTACTATTAATGGGCGTAAAGCTATCGCGTTGACGCCGTCGATGTACAAATTATCTTTTAATACTTAAGAAAAAAGAAGAAAACACTAATTATGTACATTCAATCCTTGCGATTGACACACGTGTTGACGCCGTCGATTAATGTGCCATTTGCATGCAATAAGATACTGTCCAATGTCCATCAATAAGCTATCAGAACAATTATCATTGCAAGTTTTATGGAAATTATGATTTCCCCGGGAATGTATACGATTTAACACCCATTCCGTATTAACACTTGGAAACCGTTTACCCATTCCGTATTAACACGTGGACTAGCATCGAGTTTTTCAAAATGTTGAAATCGTTTATTTGTAGACATTACAAACCAAACTGACATGTTCGGTTCGTGAAAGACGAAAGTATCTGTCGCTAGCAAGTGAAATCGGTTTCAACAGATTTAGATTTAAAAAATTATGACAACTTTTGTCTTTTTTTCACGTTTTTCTTAATGTAAACAAAGGAGGTTGGGGCCCTAAGGCTTTTTTATTATTCTATGGACAGAGATGTGTTTGGCGTCTATAGAAAGTAGAATCAATTCCCCAGAGCATGTGCTATACAGTATCGCAATGCGAACTTGCTGTGAAACATAATCTCAATTTCCGTAGGACAAGGTCACCATTTTTCATGAAATGGTATAAATTATTCCGTATTAATGTCATCACGATCACAAATACGGAACGGTATACATGGGAGAGTGACAACTCGTACATAAGGCTTTGGTATGTACTTGTATGTCTATTTATGAGTGCACATAAAATAACACAGGGCTCCTTTGAGGAGGGGTTTCTGGGTCTATCTTCCAGGCTAATTACGTTAATTACGACCGTATATATACGGGATATACCAAAGAGGTATTGCTCACATGCATTGGTGGTAAACAATATACAATACAATATAGTACTATAATTCTATATTGATAGTATTAAAATCGTTGACACTGTATATAAAATGTGTAATATTTACTTGTCCCATGTATTTCTATTCTTTCTATGGTTTTGTACCAGCGACACTTATTGAAATCCTTGATAAATTAATATGAGTATACATTTAACATGTTCAAACTAATAGATATGTAATGTAGAAGAATATGTACAATAACAGATTAATTGCAGGACATTAATATATGCACATCAAAGTTCAAGTGGAAATATATGTACAATATGAACAATTTTAAGTACTTTACGTATTTATTCTATTGACAAACACACTTCCTTGTAACATTCTTTTTTAATCAAATGTAAACGATGAGACGAGATCAGAAAAGCTCAAAATGCTGTGGAATAATATCAAAGTCATCGATGACCACCGAAAGGCAATTTCCTATATTAAAGAGTGAAGGGATCATATTAAAAGGAATTACTGACTTACAAAATACGTTGTCTTACGATCGGCAAAGGTACGATCCTTACATAAAAGTAATATTATAATTTGTAAAATATCTTATAACTACTTTACTGTATTTGTAAAATTGTAATATTTTAATATTAGTACAAAAAGTACAAAAAGTATATTGTTATCATTACTTATTACTTTATACTTACATATAACATGTATAAGATTTGCAGCAGATATAAGTAAGATAAATCCATATTTTAAGACGTTCGGTATATAATATTTACAATTAAAAAACTCCAGTAAAGGACATTTGTAATAATATCAGCTTGAGTCCATTATCCCCGTTATCCTTTGCTTTATTTTTGTTTCTCTATGTACTATTTTAGAATACTGTTATTAAAAATAATTTATTTTGGTCCCCCTTTCCATTGTCTCACTGTAAGCGATAATATTTGTCATAAGTTATTTTTATAAACATCAACCTACAATAATACACAATGACACATTCATTTTTCCTTATTTAATGAAGCATTATTAAGTTGTCGCTTTATAATACTAAATGATAACACAACACTCTCACAAAGCAAACACATATAAGTCATAATAACCTGATACGTAACCGCGCTAGAGAAAATATTGTAAAACATGTAATGTAATTTTTTAGGTTATATCAGGACACATCATCGTCTTGCTTTTACAAATGTATGCTCTTTGTAAACTCCATAATCCTATAACGGGTATGATACAAGAAATAAATAAAAATAAATAATACATAAAAATAATATGTTATGAAACTGGTAAAAATAACAATCGAAAATTGGTGGTCTCCTTTGATTAATTATCCCTTGCCGTGTTGTGGGAGAATACAAGAATCTATTATGATTTTCACGAGATTAATTGTTACTACAATTTGATTTTTTATTGTTATCTACTGAGTTAGTAAGTCGGTCAGTCGGTCGGTCGGTCGGTCGGTCGATAATGCATTCGATTCTCGTATACGTACTTTAAACACCCATACTGTATTATCATTCCATGGCACTTAATTTGTATACATTACTTAAGAAATATAGACCGAAAACAGGTACTATATCGACGAATACACCCCGCAGGTCTAGGTACAAACGTTGATTTTTTGTACACCTCGACCGACGATTCGACAATCCCGCTGTTATGACGTCACACATCACTCGTATTACCAGGGGTAGTGTTGACGAATATAACCCGGGTGAAAGGTTGACTTTGTTAACAGTTTATAGAAGGCGTTAATACGGTCATTTGCGAATACGGGATATAACTGATCATTTCAGTAAAAATGGTGACATTATCCCTCGGGAAATGGAGATAGTGTTTCACAGCTAGTGCTGAGTGCAATTCGACAGCGTCCCAGTGGCGGATCCAGGAACCAACAGGGGGGGCCCAAATTTGAGGTCAGGGAATTTGAGGCCCATTTTCTTCAAAATTTGGCCTAAAAATTAAAAAAATAAGGCCTTAGAAGGCCCAATAATGACCAAAAGGCCCATTTTTTGGGGCTTTAAGGCCTTTTTTGGCCAAACATTTTTTGGGCCCAACTTTTTTTCTGGGCCAACCTTAGGGGGGGGGGGGCGGGCCCCATGGCCCGGATCCGCCATAGGCGTCCAGTCTCTTGGGAATCGATTTTACTTTCTACAGATACCAATAGTATATCTGTGAATAGGCAGTGGTTAAAACGCCTTAGTAAAGTAACCTCCTTTGTTAACTTTTGTCAAACATAAATCAAATATAAAAGTTGTCATAACTTTATAAAAACTCAAAAAATGTATCTGATTGTACTTTTCAGGTACGGGTATTTCATGATTAGTTCTTCATAAACAGGGCATAACTCATTTAAAATAACAAGAGGCATGGTGTAATGGGGAGTTTAAGCGCTTTTAAGTGATATTTTGCGAATGCGAATTTGGATGAGCGATAAGTCTACCTTTATTTAATCTTTTAATTTAGATCTAATTTGAATAAAAAATCAGTGAACAATATTTTTTCGCCGTAATTTTTAGTAACAATAACCGGTTCGTTGATTTTACCAATAATATATAAAATAAGAGCTGATTTTGGAGACTTTAAAGATGTAACGCATCCGTTTTTAACTCAAATTCCATGCATATCAATTTTTACTTACGCCTCAAGAAGATCTCCTGGCAGATTTTCAAAATTCAAAACCATTTTAGAAATAATGTTCTCGAGATCTTGTTACTCTGTAACGTAATGATTGAATAAGGATAAAGTGTTTTATTTACAGTCTAACTAAAGTTGAAAAAATGTAACGGTCGCCGTTTTTGATGTTATCAGGCTATTTCCGCTATACTCTACCATTAATTTGCCTTGGTACTTTGACACCATAATAGGGATTTGTGACGTTTTGTCATTCTAAATCAGAGAACACAAAGGGCAACACCGTTATCAACGTATTATCAACCTATTTCTATATCTATTTTAGTACTTTTCATTGAATCTTTATTTTTATAAAGTTCTTATTGTATGACTTTGGTTTTATTACTATCTACTGTACTATCTGTCCTGACAACTGTGGAATATGACGTCAACCTATTCGTAAATCGTACTCTAAACAATTTGGAAAGTTAGGAATGACTTACGAAAGCGTACAAAAATGATCCATTCGCAACTTTACGAATTCGTAACTCATTCGTAACTTTTTAAATATCTACGAATTTAATAATTGTGAACGTTCGTTATTACGAACGGTACAAAAACGGGGCCCTGGACAACTCATTCCCTGAAAAGGTTTGTTTACAACTTTTTAACATTCTCAATTTTCAATCTCTTAATTTTGAAATTAAGAACGAATCAATTTTAAAAATAGCTGAGAGCTGTTTCTTCTTTCCATATTCCCTATCGTATGACAGGCAAACATTTTAAGTAATAATTGCTAATATCAAGATGAAAGAGCTTGTGATCTCATGTTTATAATTAAACAGCTGAGGTAGGGATTTTAATGAGAATTTTCATTATCAGTATGTTAATAACACATCATGGAATACATAAATAAGTACTAGATATAGTATAGAAATTGCAATTGCAAAACTTGCGACGAGGAGACGCTCAGCAACATTATAACTTACAATGGCATCTTACACTATGAAGGTATGTATATTTTAATTGATGAATTGCAAAGTTTGTTAACCAATAAGTTTAAATATGAAAACAGTTTCCTTATTAATGTAAAATCTTAATTTAGGGCATTGTGCAAGTATTCCAATAGATGCTAATCTGCTAGCTCTAATTGCAAATTCCTCTGTACAAGCCTTGAAAATAAAATAAAGTATCAGATAGCTTTTTGGATACAACAGCGCATCCAGGGAAACTTTTGTCAATATTCAACCTTTTTTGTACTTTATAAATCATACTTAAGCTTTTTGGTTTTTCTTTGTTCGTCATTATCAATTATCTTTCTCTGAAAAGATCTCGTGTCTGAATACAATACATATATTATATATTTTGTGCATATAGTTCAGTTTCTGTTTTTGACACAAAGCCCATCGATGAACTACACTGGTAACAATAAAAATTATGGGCCAGTTAATCTTGATTTTTCTCTTAATATTGCATCTTTGAATGCGAACGGTTTTGGCATCTCCAAACCTTATATGTCACATCTTATGGAATTTAATGATATTGTTTTAATACAGGAACATTGGTTGCATAGTGGTTCAAAGCATGTTCTAGATGACATAGATATGCATTTTAATTGTACAGTTTTTGAAAGTAGTACAGATTTGTCTGTTTTTGATAATTACCATAACATAGGTCATGGTGGCATTGTCATACTTATTAGAAATGATATACAACCGTTAATTTTGAAAGGTAGCTTGAAATGCAATAATGCAGATAGGTTATGTGCCATTGATGTTAATTGTAATGGACGACACGTATATGTTGTATGTGTATACTTGCCACACCAAAATTGTAAAAAGGTTAGTTTTACAGAAGTGTTGGTTGAACTTGAGATGTGCATAGCTGTTTTGATGAGAAAGGGTGATATCTTACTCACTTCGAGAGCCATGTTAGATTTTGAAACGTATGGCTCTCGAACGGGGAAATGGCTTATTCTCATGGTTTCAAATAAAGTCATGAGAAGGACTCGTTATCACCATTTCCGACTGGATTTTGGAGATAATATTTTTGTAACTATTTTGAGCTTAAATTATCAATGTAATTCCTTAACGCAAATTTGCTATAGGTGAAGGCTCAACTGCCCCATTGCAAGTGCAACCTTCTTGGATGTTGTGTGTTATCATTTCTACTTCTACCCCTTTAAATCAATCAAGGCGTGAATGTTTATCTCCATTATTTTAAAAGTTATAACATCCATCCAATGTGGGAGCTCGAGTCTATGAAATAGACCCCTGTATAAGTCATGTACCAATACAAGGCCAAAATTGGAGATTTTGTGAACTGATCTTTACATACGATTGTTGCTAATATATTATAGAAGTTTTCTACTTATATTTTAACCCTTCCTCACACATAGGTGACAAAACATGCATGCATATGTTAAACTATATGTATATGATCAGAATTGGTCGCAATAAAGAAATATATAATAGCTCTTGATACTTAAAATTCAGCGCGTTTGGAATTAGAGCTGAATTATTTTATTTCTGATTGGTTTAACGCCCTATGTTATTGAAATCGAACGCGATTTGAAATGCGTTCGCTTGAATGGTTATGAGTTTGAGTGATATAAAAGGATTTGGTTGAATGGATCAGGCATTCTGCTTGTAGCAAGCCTACGTTTAGAGATTCTGCCGTGCACTATGCCTTTAAACCAAGAATCGTCGGACCAATTAGGTCAAATGCTCGATAACAAAGTAAAGTCCCTCAAGAGAGAGATATCGGTAGAAAATGACTCGCTATTGAAAAAACTGAAAGTCGACACGCCAAAACCTAAAGGGAAAAGTAATAAAGAGCAATTCAAAGTAAACCAGACTGCCATTGATGCGATGGTCGGGGCGTTGGATAAACTCGAATTGGCTCTGAAAGGTGGCGACGAACCATGGAAGTTGCTCGAAGAAGCAAAAAACGACTTACTAGAGGGTAAGAAGCATATACTTTATAGAAACAAACTTATTCGCATGGCGGACGATAGTTCAGCGGGCTGGAAAACTGTCTCTGAATACGAAAAACTACCAGTAGCTTCTGATTCAGATGACGACAGAAAAATAAGAAAAGCCGAGTCGTATGCTCATAAGAAAATCAAGCAAACTAAACAGAAACGTTTAAATAATTTAAATAAGTCAAAACGTTCGAGAATCAGTAACAGTGGCGCGTCCAGGAAAAAACAGCACATCAATTAGAAAGGGGATTGAGAAATGGCATACACTGTGCATTATTAATCGTCTTTACATTTTACACTTTGATGCATGGGACTCTGTCACAGTAGCAAGAGGTTACATGATCCAGATAGACATGGTGTCCGATTTGATATGATTTAGAAATAATATTAGAAATGCACTTAGTGATA